TTAGATTTTCAGTACAAATCGGCAATTTCATACTTTAACCCCTATTACCTACACAATTAAAGGATTTTTCATCAAGAGCGGGCAGATTTTGACGGTTCATAGCGGTCATATTGTTGAAATTGCTTTTGTCAAATCTGTTGTTCAATTTCCAGTCACTAAAGACAAAACATCATGGCCAAGCTACTGCGTCAAGCAACACGTATACAAATGGTAAAAATTTATTATCAAAATGGGTGTTCTATTAGGGCAACGAAGCGCGCGTAATAGACTGCCTCGGGTTCTCCTGGGGGCCAATCGCGCTAATTGTCAAAGGTTTAACCAAAACCTCCAACCTCGCCAATCTGACACGTTGTGTACATTTCGTATCGCGCTAACTGTCAAAACAAAAACCTAAGCCAAAACTTAGACGTGTGACACGTAACGCACATTTGGTATCGCGCTAATTGTCAAACGTAAAACCAAAACCTAAAATGTTGCAAATTGGTATCGCGCTAAATATTTTGACATTTTAACCTCACATGTAACCTTGGGGGAATAGATTAACCTTTGCAAGGTCAAGGTTTGTGTGGCAGTTAATGGAGAGTAACTTTTCACTACGTTTATCGTATATAAAAGATGTTCCACGGTTACTTAAATGTTTTGGAAAGTGTTTATGAGGTGGATGTGGCCTAAGAACGGGCTTTAAATAAAAGAAAAGCATAGAAAGACGATCACATTTAACATGTCTGAGGAGAAATTCCGCAAACGATATACCGTTTGTCCACGGAATTCATTTCAGGATTGGTGGAAGAACTATGCCTACATATTCTCGTTAAAGGACGGTCTGTTGCATTGGATGTGGAGACAAAGGTAAGGGTTGAGTGGAATCCGAAAGTTCTCAGTTTTGCATAATAACCAAAATTTCTATACTGTGTAAATCATTATTAATTTTGTTACAGATTTTAATAGCTCGTATAGTTTTTAACAACTGGGGCGTACCAGACCCCCATTGGCAAGTGCTTATCACCCTTTCCCAAGTCAGTGTCAGAGAGGCACAAGCGGTAGCTGCTTCAAATAAACCAGTTATTATGAATATGCAGCTTTCCTAAAAGGCATGCCGAAAGAGATGGTTATTAAAAGGCGGTGAGAAAATAAGCTTTACAATGTACATCATATTTATTAGTTCTTGTCTTATTTCCTGTTGTTATTATCAAATTAAAATTACAGGTATAGGTAAAATATGTATAGTTGTATAAAAATATATTACAAGGTTACAATTTATCTCTTTTAACACTTGACTTTATACAACATATCGTCCCCTTACAGTGAAGCCTCACATATGCATTTTCAGTTTGTTTTTACTGATTTTTGTTGAATAAAAATTAATAATGTAATAATATAGTATCTAAAAGAGGTATAATTTAAGTAATTAAAATGCTAACTACACACATTATTGCATTTACTATACTTCACACCATATTTTTATCATCATCCTAAAAAATTACATAGAAATATGAGGTATTCCTTCTAAGATGACGATGTATACCTATTGTTATTGTTTATTATCTTAATATCTAAATTGATGTATACTTTTAAGAGGTTGAAATAAAAAAAAGAGTGTATTTTTAGTTTATTTATTGCCTCAATCTACCCCAAATCATCCTTCATTTCCGGAGCGAGCTTGCTTTTGATTCTTCAAAGAAGTCTGAAACAAAAATATGTATATAGGAAGATTGGAGACCTAAATTTAAGACTGTGCCATACCTCTCATGAGAGTAGTGACAGATAAAGCAGGATGGGTATTTATATACATACAGTATGAAGCCAACATAAACGCCAGAATGTTTAGGGGCCTTTTCAAAATACATTTAAAAAAATGTTTATATCACTGTGGAAATATAAAGGGGACAAAAGTCTACAGATTAGACATTCGTTCCTTACGCTCTTTCAGATTTCCACAATTGAACATATCATCAGCAGGAATTAAGAAAACATGTTGAAAACAAACCTGTCATTCTTGTTAAATAGTCTATCAAAATGGTTAACTGCAGGCACCAACTCGGTAATTGCTTTGCAAATGGCAGCTGCGGATTGGGCATGCAGATCATCTGCTTTGGCAGAAATAATAGCTGCCTCAGCCTGCACCCTGCCAGCATTCACTTGCTGCAAGAATGCTTCGCATGCTCGCTGCTCCTCAATGCATAAGAATTCTACCCGGCTCTGCTCCAACGCTCATCAGCTCGCTGTCAACGAAATAATAGATGTGATGGAATAAAGAGTGGGAAAGAATTTGCTCAAATTGAAAGTTACTTTGTTTTTTAATTAATAATAAAGAGTGAGAAAGTTACTTTGTTATTGAATTGTATGTTTGAAGTTATTTTGTGCTAGAGTTGGTGTCCTTTAGGAAGGTTGGTAGGGCCTCTGCCGCAGTCGACGTGGCGTAGATTCTCACCCTGCTTTTCATACCATTCCATACCTGAATAACAATAATAACATTGCATATTATAGTGATATGAGTTCTGGTACAATAACGGTGAGTGATCCACTCACTGTATCCTATTACCTCGCATTATAGCTCACCTTTTGGGATCTATTGTGGGGCCACAAAATAGCCACACACTCGCACCAAAGGCGTGCTGATAACACGCGCGAACAACGCCGAGCGAAGTCATTCTCAAGCCAAATCTCTGTGCGATTCGAACTCCAGCAAAGATGGAGCTGGCTTACAGTGGTCGCTCGCCGTCCGACCGCATCCACACTGGCTGAAATACGAGCATCATTATTAATTCTACATTGCTAACATTTCGAAATTAATAGTAGTTAGCGTACCTATTTGATTGTATAAAAAGATACTATTTTATTAAATAGAATATTAAAACAGGAAAACAATGTGTAGGTACTTACCTCTGTGTGTTTTATCTACAACAACAACACACTAAATTCAATTAATTTGGTTCAAATGACAACTCATATGTTTGTTTACAATAGAATTTAATGACATTTCTTTTACACACTTTTTTAAATCGCTCTTTTATAGACTTGAATTCGTAGATATTGACATTTCAGTGCGTTTTACGGTAAAATTTAGTCGGTTTTAGGAAGTCAAGGCACGTCTCTTAAAATTTAATACGAGGTTATAGTTTGAGGTTTAACTGAGGTTTAGGTTCATTAAAACTGATAGCGCGATTGCATTTTGTGCGTCGGTAGAACCATTAATTAACCAAAACCATAACCTCAAATGTTGTAAGGTTAAACCTTGCGAAAATAGCGCGATTGGCCCCCTGAACACGTTCACCGGCGATGTTTTCGGCAGACCTTACGTTTCGTTGACATACGAGTGTTGGTTGATGGATCACTGAACCGGTCGACTCCAATTTGGCCACCAACGTTGAATAATTGTCTGGGAAGGACGACCACGTAAACGCTAAAGTGGGCGTAACGCGAAGTATAGAAATATTATAGTCCTGGGAGGTTGTTAGTATTTTACAAATAAGGGTTATTGTAATCGAAACATTAAAACATAAACAAAACAAAACAAAAGTAAAATAAAATTAAAACATACTAAATATAACCAAAGACACTAAGGGCACCTTCAAATTAGATGCTTGTACAAGTGCTGCGGTGACGCGACTGTAGCGCAATAATCTAAGTATTGTATGAAAATTAATAGTGCCGCGACTGCAGCGCGTCTAATTTGAAGGCGACCCTTAGGTCGCTTAGGTTTGCTTAGGTTTATACTTATATAAAGATACTTTATGTTGTGCCTGTCTAAGATACAGAACTGTGGCAGAAATTATCAAATTTTAATGTGGATCAATACAATAATAATAATAATAATAATAATAATAAATATCTTTATTTATCTCCACAACACAATACAAAGAAACGTTACAATTACAGTAAATATACATTATTACGTAAGCTTAGAGTAATGTATTGTGGGAGACTGGAGCCCAAACTAAGCAGAGCTTGTAATATGGGTCTCCAGGCACCCAACCCCTAGGATAGTCATGTTAGTACTAATGAGGAGATACAAAGTACTGAGGTGGAAGTAAAAACTAAGTAAAACAAATTATGTGTGCGCGCGTGAGCGCGTGAGTGAGTGAGTGAGTGCGTGAGTGAGTGTGTGTCTTTGTGTGTGTGCGTGTGTGTTTGTGAGTGTAGAAGTGTGAGGTTATTTGACGACTTTTAGTAGATTTTCAGTCAGATGCAATTGAAATTATTTACCTGTCAGGTCGGTTTCTTTGTTGCTGCGTCCATCTATGACTTGGTCTGTTGAAGAAAAACTAAATTAACGGTTGATTAAGAATTTACATGAATTAATTGATTTTACTGACATTACTGGGCAGTGTTATAGCTCGGTTGGGCGAGCCATAGCCCCGGTTTGGCGAATAAGTCGTTGGTTCGTGTCCAGGCGGATCGAAGAGTTGTTTTTTGTTTTTGTTCGATGTTTACGTCAATAACAACAACAAACTAATGGAGTATTTTCCAAAAAATATATGTCATGGTAGAAAATCATCGATATTCAATAAAATACACACGGCAACATTGTGTTTCAAAGTTTCATTGGTTAATGATAGTTTGTTATCTCAAATAAATAATCCCACTATAATAAAATTATGTAACTTGTATTACGCCATTACGGAGTGACATCATCGTCACAAACTCTCATTCCCTTGTAATTTAGCAGCAGTAGAGTTCCTTGTGAAAGAGTTCGTCCAGAGAAGTACTGCCGCCAAGCAGTAATGTGAGCATTACTGCGTTCCGGTTTGGAAGGATAAGGGTGCTGGTGAAATTACAGGCCCACGGGACTTGTCAACTTATATCTCAAGGTGACGGGAGCAGCGGCAGTGCCCCTAAGATCTTTGCAATTTAAAGCTCTGAGTGGCAACTGTTATGGATAAACGTGTCGCTTACTACCACGTTCTTTCCGTCATTTGGTTTTATAAAATAAACAAAAAAAAATTATAAATAGTTATTTCAAATTTCTGAACGACTAATATTTTTTATCGTTCAACGAATGTCTATTTTCACAAGTACTAAGATAATACATTTAATTGCCAAACGAGAAGGGTAATGAAACTATTTTTCCGGATTTAAATCGCGTATATTTGTTTTTTCAAACATACCAACAAACTAGTTTCATTTCCTATGTGTAACAATCGCGAAACCCTAAGAACTCGATATGCCAGACAAGATGTTTAAAGTATCAAATTTTTGTGCTAGCTTGTTGGTGTTTGCCTTTTTCAGTATTTCTCTAGCGTTAATTAATTTTTTATTTAGATACGATTTCTATTTGAGTGTTAGGGCGCCTGCAGATTAGACGCAGTGGCGCATCTGTGGTGCCACTGTGGCGCTGCAGCCGCGCCACTGCCAACTCTCATACAATCGAAACTTTGAGGCTTTTGAAACGATCGATTCGATCGTTTCAAAAGCCTCAAAGAGTCTTGGATTTGTGATGCGTAACTCCAGAGATTTCCATCAGGCTAAGACACTAAAAATTTTATATTGCTCACTTGTACGCAGCCACCTTGAATACGCATCGCAGGTGTGGAGCCCGCAGTATCTTACATATATATCACGAATTGAAAACGTGCAAAAGAGATTCATTAAGTATTTATGTTATCGAACAAGGAAGAGGTATGATTCAAGCCGGTATCTTGAAATATGTAGGAAACATCGTCTCTTGCCACTAGAGAAGCGACGCCAGATTGCAGACTTAGTATTTTTAAGAAAAATTGCTTCTGGTGCAGTAGACTCCCCAGAACTTGTGTCCAAATCTTCTTTAGAGCCCACACAAAGACCCTTAGGTTTAATTCGCCTTTACATATACCTTCGGCCTCCTCGAACTATCGGCGAAATGCATATCTCTTGCGTGCTGGTAACAGCTTTAACCAACTATCCAGACAGGTTGATATTGACCTGTTTAACACTAGTGTTGCATCGGTGAAGCGTCTAATGAGTAATTTGTTTTTTGATAGGAAAGTGAATTTGTAAGTGTTGTATATTTACCCATAGTTCGTAATGCGTCATAATAGTTTAGTTGTAATTTAACGCTCAATAATTTCAAATCAAAATGTATTATTTAAGTTTTTTATTCTATAAGATAGCCGTTGGTCTTCCAATAAATAAAATAAAAATAAAATAAAATAAAACAATATCTAGTCTACAAAAGTGGTGCGACAGAGGCGCTGCAGTTGCGCTTCTAAATATTGTATGAAAATTAGTACTTAGTAGTGGTGCGGCTGCAGCGCCACAAGGGCGCCACTGCAGTACTTCTACAAGCGTCTAATTTGAAAGCGCCCTTATGATATGGTGTGAGACAAGACCACAAGTTTGACACTTTATACTTTGAATGCTAAGCGGAATAAGGTTGAATTTAAATCTTAAATGTCAACCTTGAAATACTCTTTACCTATAACAATAGTACACCAACCTCCATTCATGTCGATTTTGTTTATAAAAATCTCTATTATTGCTTTTAAAGACGTGTTCGTTTCCGCTCTGTTCTTCGCTAACAAAGGTTGCTTTTACTGAAACAAAATTTGACATTTCATATATGTACTCATGAACATATCGCACCCCTCATGGAAGAATGGCATAAGTGGAGTTACGTTAAACATGTTTATTGCTCCATTAGAAACAGAAAAATGTAACCCACATCCTCTCCAATTCTTGTAACTCTATCTACAATATTAGCCGCTAGCTGGACGTTGTAGCTAGAAGTTTCCTGACAGCACGTATAGACGGACCCAGCAACACTATATCGTCGGTGTAACTAATATTGTATATGCACTGTCCGTCTATGGAACAGCCGACTGCGGTACCGCTGAGTACATTTATTTATTTATTTATTTAGTTCCCCGATAAGATATAACCTTCCTTGTCTCACTCCACACCTTAACTGGTATGCACTGGAAACAGCTCCCGACCATCTAACAAAATTTGTTTGGTTGTTGCGCTAATAATCGAAGATCCCGATAATCTCATGAGGAATAGTAGTTTCTGTTGTCTGTGAATAGAAGTAGTGTCATTTTATGCCAGGGCAACTTATAGGATACCAAATCACAAGCTTTTGACAGGTCTAGAAAGCTGGCGTACACCGGCTTACATATTTCTGTCGGTGTAGTACCGGACAGTATGCTTGAGATACAATATTACAGACTCAGTGGATAAACCTGATCTGAAGCCAAACCGTGCATCATTTAGCCTCAGATGACTGCCCACTATTCCATCAAGCAAACTGTTCAGCACTTTAGAAATAATAGTGGCCAGTGGGATGGGTCTATAGTTGCTGTTATCAGAAGAGTCACTGGTTTTATCTTTGATTATTGGCACAACCACCGTTTTCATACATTCGTCTGTCAAATCATGTCTTACACAAAAAGTATAACATGGGTAAGACTCTCGGCAGATGAATGCATGCCTGCATGCTGCAGGCGCTCGACGCAAAGCCCATCGTGCCGTAAGGGCTTACTCCTTGTCATGTGTTTAATTACGGAAGCCACCTCTTTAGCCTTAAATGTAGGCAAGACAGACAACTGATGGATTAGTTTCGAGCTCCAGCGGCACGCAGGCTCCGAGCGCTGGTTCAACCTGGAAGTGACGCCTAAACATGTCAGCAATGGCACGGGTTCATTCACACCATCTACATTTAAAGGAACGCTAGATTTATCTTTTAGATTTTTAGTGCACGTCTAGAAATTTTTAAAATTTTTATTAGTATGATGTGAAGCAAGAATATCCATTTTTATTTGCTCGGTATTATTTTAACACCACTTTAGTTTTGCTTTAAAAATACGCCGAGACTGTGTTATATTTTCATAAAAAGGTCCACAACTAGGTTTACCATGTAGCAACCAATCCTGAAAATGAAGTCTTGCCACTCGATGAAAACAGTGTACATGCCTATTCCAGCCCACCATGACACGGTTACGATTCTGGGCTCCCACCTATAAGTCTGCGCAGCTGCTTCACAAATTGTAATAATATTTTTTTGTACATATGGTCTATAGCTGGTCTATGCTGCAATTCATTACACGTACCGTCACAACACTCAGAAAATTCTACCGGGAAATTCATTAACTTAAATTGCTCGTTGCACAGATTATGATACTGCACTTCTTGTTGACTGTCCATGTTACACCATATTACATTATTATGATTATTATTGTCTGAATATTCTGCGGTCTTATTTTTCTCATATTACAATTTATCTCTAAGGGGAAGTGATCCGACCACGTACAATCTTATTGTACCTTCACATCTGATACACACTGCTACGCAGAATGAGATACCAACTAGTGTCAAGCCAACTGGTGCTGCCGTGGACATCGTTCACAAATGTGAAGGTTTCTGATGTAATGCCCATTATTTAGCTTTTACGTTTTAACTTAAATGAGTAACCCGGGCGCGCGGGCGAGACTGGCTTGTCTTTGGTCTACGCGGCGACCGCGCGGTTGTATTAATCAGAGGAATTTAAATGTTGTTTCCTAACTAGAATTCTGATTCACCATTAATGTACGGGAAAGCGTGGTAACTGGGCGGTCTCCGTGCGGCGGCCGCGCGAAATCTTTCGCGTCGTGTAATTGGGCGCTTAGTGTAGGTAGATTATCAAATATGTAACCTTAACTATCGCGTTTGCGTTAAGATTTTAATTTAAACCTTAAACATAAAATAATTAAGATCTAAATTAAAATCTTAACGCAAACGCGGTAGTTAAGTTTGAATGATTACAAATTTACACTAAGGCCTGTGATACCTCTTCGCGTAGTATAATCGTCATCTTCAGTCTCGTCGATCTTCTTGTGCGAACTCCTTATATCCGAAACTGGACTAAAAGCTTTCTTCTTTTTCATAATATTAATCTTCGCCCTGTCCTTTTCGCTCTTTGGTTTTGCTGAAACTACAATGCTGTACATTACGAATTAATTAGAATCCACACGCTGAAAAAAATATCGCTAAAAATACCTGAACGCAATGAAGTTCACGAAAACTTATTAAAAACAAGCTTTAGGTAGTTTTCCGAAAAATATTAAATAGTGGAAATTTTTCTAAAACATTTTTCAAAAATTGGAGAAATGTGATTTGCAGACTCATTTTATGTTCTACGTTTAATCTTCTAATGTTTTATTTAGCACGAATTATAAAACAAAATTGAATAAACATTCCTAAATGTTATTTTCTAAACCGTGCTTGACTTATTTTTGCAAATTCTCATATTTGAGTTCAGTATCTTCAAAGTTCGACAGGTCACTGTAAAATGTGGAAAAATATAGGAAAATTATTTACATAATTTTTTTTTTTTCGAAAAACATTATTTTTTCAAAATTGAGTTTTTTCATAGCCCAACACTATACACAAAATACAAAATAAGAGCACTACAATACAAAATAAGAACACTATACACAAAATAAGAGCAATGTGAACTTAGTTAGCGAAATGGTGACGTATGTCAACAAGAGTGAATAGAATATTGTTATATTACCTATACCTAATACTTAGAATGTTCAGACTCGATGATCAGTGCAAATTACATAGGGCGCACTATAAGTTTCCGGAAGTGGCCACTTACATAAACAATATTTAAAAAGTAATTACAACATTTGAAAATAGACCTTTTTGGCTGTAGAATACAGTTTATTTCATCTGACTGTCACTTGTTTTTACATTGTGGCATCTTTCAGAAATTGGTTGTCTACATCACCATGGATTTAATTCGTCAAAATTTTTGGTAGTATGATTTTCTACGACTTTAAGTGTAATTTCACAGCTCAGCGGAGCTTCGCTCGGCTTCAAACTGCTTTTGGCGATGAAGCACCATGCAAGATGACTATTTATGGCTGATTTGCAGAATTGAAACGCGGGGGTGTGAATCTCAGTGACGAATTTCGTGATGGTCGCCCGTCCACTGCTGTGAACTAGAAAAACATCGATGCTATGCACCGTATGATCCATGAAACCAACCAAAAGTGGCGCGCGTGGAAAGTGCCTCTAAGCGGATGATTGCTTCTTTTTTTAATAAAACTGGACACGTGGCTACTGTTGCTTTGGAGAATCGTTGTACCGTGAATAGTGTATTGGTACACGACCATTTGTTTGCCGGAAGTTATTGACAAACTCCGTAAAAATAACCGTAAACGCCGTATCATCTTGCATCACGATAATGCCAGTTCTCACACGGCCAAACAGACAAATGAATTTTTGAAGGTGAACAACGTTACTTATGAGCCATCCCGCGTACAGTCCCGACCTGGCACTTTGTGACTTTTATTTATTTCCAAAAATTAAGAACCATTTACGTGGTTAACGATTTTCATCACCTGAAGAGGCTGTCGAAAAGTATGAAAAATATATTTCAGAGATTGTCACGGAGGAGTGGCATAAATGTTTTCAAAATTGGTTCGTTTGCATGAAAAAGTGCATTAACGCTAACGGAGAATATTTTGAGAAACAATAAATTCATTTCTGATCATTTACAGTATTTTTTTCTTATTCATTCCGGAAACTTATAGTGCGCCACACATACTAATAATGATTTTTAATCCAAAGCAACGATCTGAATTTTTAGTACGTATGCTGTCCCTTTTAAATCTATAAAGCGCAATGTTATTGACACCGACAAATGAAATCTATCAATAATATTTTTGCAATCTATTTCAACTTACCCGTATAGTCTTCAACTAACTCAAGTCTTCCTTCAGAAGGATTAACAATAAGAGCTTTTGCTTCTGTAGAATTGTAATTCTCCTGGAAGGGAACGTTGTGCGAATTCAATTCAGTGGCTGTCGTTATCGCATCTTCACTTCCGTACTCTTCTTCTATGTCTTCATATGGATCGTCAGAGTAATTAGTTTCTTGGTAACCTTCGTTGGCTTTTGTGTCAGCAGCATCATGGACCTTAAGATTGAAACAGGTGTAACCAGATATGGGTAAGTGCCCGGGTTTCACCCGGTGCTTTGTTAAGCCGGGTTTAAATCGGGTTAAAATCCATTAACGCCCAAAAGCGAGGTCAAGACCTATTTACAACTCAATATGTGTTGTATATCGAGTTTTGTTTATTGCTTTCTAATCGAGACGATGCGACTTGCCTTTCTATTGAACCGATTCGCTTGAAAATCGCATTGAAATGAATCGATACAAAAATCGTTATATCGTATCAATCTAAATCGATTTTCATAAAAATCGAATCGTAATCTGCATCCTTAATAGTCAGAATGCACAAATTTGTTGTGTGCAGTTGGCTCCTTTTTGTCTAAAAAGATTTTTTACATCGAAATGTGTAAAAAATATGTAATTATACCAAACTCCGTATTTGCCGATTTCGCCCACGATTTTTTTTTTGAACATATTTCGAGAAACACAGTACAACAAAACTTGGAATCAAAGTATGTAAAGTAACCTAGGCAAATAAAGCCCTACGGATAATAAGATTTGGGAGTTTAGAAGTAGATTTAGATTAATTTCGATGACACATACCTATGTGCACATAACGTTGAGTCCACTAGGGGAAGGACTAATAAGGCAATAACGAGGTCGCTTCCCTTGGGATTTGTAGGCGATTGCATCGATGCAATCGCGCGTTTGTATCGATGCAATCATCGCTGCTAAAAGTCGCTGTCTGTAACCCACTCTTAGTTAAGCGGTAGGTCTGTAACTGTATATTTACACGGGAGTTTGCATTTTAGTTTTGATTGTATTTGGAAATCAACAGATTGAGAAATAGTACAGATAATTCTTACCGGAACACAGAGAAGCGGATAAAGAGATCTTGATTTCCGAACGGTGTGCAACGGACATTTGGCCAAAGGCCCGGGATTGATAGTCTTTTGACCGAGCATGTTCGTGTGTGAGAAATCGCAGACGAGCAGCAGTCGAGGGTACTTGTCTACGTGTCTGACCGCCCCGCAGCCAACTGCGCAGAGGTTCCAGACAGCTAGTTGGGTGAAATGCCCAAATACGTTGCCCCTATTATTAAGGTTTATAATTTGGTATTAAAATGATGATTTAGACGTGAAAAAATTACAGACTTTCAGCATTAGTAGCAGTAGAGCTCCTTGTGAAAGAGTTCGTCCAGGGAAATACTGCCACCTTACATGTTTTTGCCGCCAAGCAGTAATGTCAGCATTACTGTGTATTCAGGTATTGAAGGGTAAGGGTGCTGTTGAAATTACAGGTACATGAGACTTGTCAACTTATGTCTCAGGGTGACGGGCGTAGTGGCACTGCCTCTCAGATCTTTGCGACTGGCACTGCAACTGTTAAGGACTGGCGTAAAGCTTACCATCAGGCGCACGACCTGATCGTCCCGTCACTAGATAAAAAAGCGTACTATAAATAAAACAAGTACAGTAACTCCATACAAACGTACCAGCCCGGCTTGTATAATTATGTGTGCACGCCCGCCGTGCGCCGTGTAAAGACGCACACATTCACATAATCTCGTTGTACACTCGCGTTGCATTGTAGCGGTTGCTGTCGCGTTGCATAACGCGCGTCGTCACAACTACCGTTGACCATTAATTCTAGAATTGTAGCGGTTGCCGTCGCGTTGCTTAACTCATTTCGTCGCAAGTACCATTGACGATGAATTGTAGAATTGTAGCGGTTGCTGTTGTCGCGTTGCTTAATGCATGTCATCGCAAATACCATTGACCAACAATTATAGAATTGTAGCGGTTGCTGTCGCGTTGCATAACGCGTGTCGTCGCAAGTGCCGTTAATTATAGAATTGTAGGAGTTGCTAGATATTTAAAAATGACATAAATAGTAGACGTGTTTATTATTGTGTTTGTGGTAAGAGATACCTAAGTAGAAATTTCCCATGTGCCTTGATTGCGCCCTCATGGTAAAAAAACAAACTCTTTCACGAGGAGCTCTACTGCTATTAACGTTAACGTTATAAAACTAGAACGCGCAAGACGTGACAAAAGTGACTGATTTTCTTTACCGACTAGTAATTCTGAAGGGTTGTATAAGGTGTTTAGGTTGGACGCGCCGCTTCTCCCCCCACCACGCGTCGAAGATACGCCTGATCGCGCGCTGGGCGCTCTGAGTGTCGGATTCTCTGGACCTTCGCCATTTCACTTCGCCTACCGTTTGACCCGCGTATGGATAACGCACTGGGGGTGAAAAAGCATTTAGTTGGGTTGGGTTACGATCGCTCACCATATCGCACTGTCAGAAAACCGGTACTGTTTGACTTCTCACGGTCTCCAGTATTTATACTGAGTCAGGTCCATTTCAGCACAAACTGTAGTCACTCACAAATTTTTGTTTTTCTGACAGCATTTTGTTTATCTCTTTCTCTATATTTTTATGTTTTATATATTTTTTTGTTTTGTATAAACGTGTATTAAGTTACAATGTATGTGCTATGTGCTTTTTTGTGTTATAATTTGAGAAGTGATTGTAAATTTTGTTTCTGTTTGTATTTGTGCTGAAGTGTTATCTATACATCTATCTATCTAATTTCAAAACATTAATCAATAAAAAGTATGGAACACGTATATTCAAATTTATTGTAATCAAGCTTACAATTTGCATCACATAAAGACAGCAATACCTGCCTATTATAGTACTCATATTTCGCACCCTTGATGTAATAAGGCCACTATTCTTTATTATGTACGAAATTAGTTGAGATCTTTTTATGATTATATAGGAAAGTTATACAATTTCACATAGATATACATAGTTTGTTTCAAGTAGTATTATTTTTATGATTTTTATAAAAACACTTTTGACGTGGTTTAATTACCAATACCAGGGGTACGTCTTAATGGGTGTTTCGTAGTTATGGCCTGTGTGTACTTACTAATGGCATACGAAAGAAAGTCATATATTTTTATATGGGATCATAAAAGAACATAGTTTTGAAAATGCAACCTAAGGACGTAATATACTAAACACTATTGTTGCAATACCTATAAGAATACCATGTTGAGTAACAGTGAAGCTCGAATGATGATGAAACAATTCAAATCACAGGTTAATAAATAAAATGAGCCTTTATTTGTACTATAGTCAAGTGTCAATCGACATTTATTTTATTTATTTATTTATTTATTCACTCTCACATAAGGAAGATTGTACATTATAATTATATGTTAAACAAGACTTAATAATGACTAAAGTTAGCTACCTTAAGCGATATTGTTAGTTACATTTGAATGTTATTAGTTACATTTCGTCGGGGATAGTGCAAATCCGCATATGTAGTATTGGTAAAACGCGCGTATCTGCTTAACTAAACCAACATTTCAGAGGAAAAGGATTTAACGTTATTACTTTATTATTGCAATGGCTATGATTTTCATTTTTGCACAGTTTAATTTATGTTGTCTACGGACTGATAATTACTGATAATTTGGTTGCCACGACAATTACGCAGATTTGATACGCGTAATAGTAGTAGTATATAAGTTGAGATATTGATAATAAGATATTGCGTGAGATAATTTTACCTGTCGCTCTACAATCGTCATGTACGAAGTTGCATTGGTTGGCGAGCCTCTGTGCTAAGTAGGCTAGTTCGCGGTCCCACGCCTGGAATTCAACAATTGATTTGTAAACGATGACGTTATTTGTGACTATAAAAATTGTAAGTCAATATTTAAAATTCAAAAGTGCACTGACCACTTGCAACATGACTTGCGGCTTTGGAATGTGTGCCCCTCCCCGCACTCTTTCAATTCCTGACGCTAGCCGTTGTCTTCGTCTGTAAACACACACAGTAAGTTTGTTTTTAACCGACTTCAAAAAAGGTAGAGGCTCTCAATTCGATTGCATTTTTTTTGTGTGTATGTTACGCGTTTACTCCGTCATTTGTGAACCGATTTCGATGATACTTTTTTGTTGGAAAGATGATACCACAGTAATGGTCTCATTAATAAATTTATTGAAGAAAATATTCGCCCTCTAAGGGTGGCAAATCAGGGGATGAATCCGGTTTATTGGATTTCACCATTCACTCACTTTCCGTAGACCGATTTCGATAAAACTTGGCAAATAGATGTAATTCCCCAAACTTTTGATATCGGTTTTTAATAATCTACGTCTACAGCTCTATATAATCTCAGTACAGAGTACTAAAAAAACCGACCTCAAAAGTACGTGGAATTACATCTATTTGCTAAGTTTCATTGAAATATCCCCTAGTTCGCCACTATACAGGACTTGATACTGGAGATAATAAAAATAGGTTCTCACTACGACACTACTCAAAGTATATCGAGGGAAATACGCCTTGAATTGGAGAAATAGCAAAATCAACTAAATAATTGCTAAAAATAATTGCTCCTAAATTAAAGTTAGGCGCTATTTATAAAAATGAATCTTCATGCGTGAACAGCCACCCTTAGAGATTGATGATTTCCTTCAAAATGAAATAGGACCACTATGGAAGTACCCCCTTTCCAACAAAAAAAGAATCATGAAAATCGGTTCACAAATACCGGAGTTATCGCGTAACATACATACAAAAAAAAACAAAAAAAAATAAAGAACATACAGTCGAATTGAGAACCTCCTCCTTTTTTGAAGTCGGTTAAAAATTGGCTGTGACACGTTGGCTGTTATTATTATTATACCGTCGTATCGCTATAAATATCCATTTTATGACTGAGATCCATCCCTATTTACCAGGGTTTTGTAATCTTTTTCTAGTCACGGACGCCACTCAAAATTTCAAAGAGCCCACGGAGCTTTCCAAAAAAATAATAAAACCAAGGTTAGTTTCTACCAGCTTTTATTGTTTGCGATTAAACTTTACATATGAATAGTTGGTATGACGATTGCTGCTGCATTATGCTGAATAAGAACCATGATTAGTTGACGATAAAGACACTTACTTACGCGCGTTTCGCTCGCTCCAATAATGGATGGCCGTGAAAAGGCGCACTGTACCTATTTATTCACAAAATATTGTGTACTAATTTTTATATTAATGCATCGTTGGCTCACCATGGACCCCCGGCGTTCATTACACGAACCTCTTAGGGGTCCATGGACCACAGGTTAAGAAAGTCTGCTAGGTATATGCTATAGGAAAAGCGCTGATAAGTTTTTAAACAGATATTCTACAAACATAGCTAAGGACCATCCCGATTCATAATAAATAAATAAAATAAATAACAAAAACCGCTTTGAAATCGGTTTGATCCGTTTGAGAACAACGATGCCACAGACAATTATTTATAAAGACAAAGGTTTCCAACTTGTATAGTCCCTCTTTTGCATCGGGTTTTAAAAAATCTATGAAAATCTGTAGAACTCACCTGTTTATATAATGAATAATAAAATGTTTTAGGTCATTGTCGAATTTGATTTTGGTGAAATTCTGACACGCCTCGCCAGGCACGGACTGCGAATAAAAAAATACTTACAAATTATCTAAACAGGTTTAAGGTTATCCTAAGCATATCACGCGCTATAAGTTTCCGGAACTAGCCACTTACATAAGCAATATTTAAAAAGTACTTACAACATTTGAAAATGGAACTCTTTGGCTGTAGAATACAGTTTATTTCATCTGAATGTCACTTATTTTTACAACAAACGTTCTTCAAAAAACGGATCGCATCACTTGGTGCAATGCCATGCTTACCAGATTCAACGAAGGGGCGTCAAATTTGGTGTGGGACATAGTAACAGGTGGCGAAACATGGATTTATAGTTACGATCCCAAAACAAAGCAGCAATCGAGCGCATGGGTCTTTCGAGATCAGCCGAAACCAACCAAAGTGTTTCTTTTTTTAATAAAGCTGAACACGTGGCTACTGTTGCTTTGGAGAATCGTTGTACCGTGAATAGTGATTGGTACACAACCATTTGTTTGCCGGAAGTTATTGCCAAACTCCGTAAAAATAACCGTAAACGCCGTATCATCTTGCACCACGATAATGCCAGTTCTCACACGGCCAGGCAGACAAATGAATTTTTGATGGTGAACAACGTTGACCTTATGAGCCATCCCGCGTACAGTCCCGACCTGGCACTTTGTGACTTTTATTTATTTCCAAAAATTAAGAACCAGTTACGCGGTCAACGATTTTCATCACCTGAAGAGGCTGTCAAAGAGTATGAATTTCAGAGATTGTCACGGAGGAGTGGCATAAATGTTCAAAATTGGTTCATTCGTATGAAAGAGTGCATTAACGCTAACAGAGATTATTTTGAGAAACTATAAATTCATTTCTGACCATTTATAGTATTGTTTTCTTATTCATTCCGGAAACTTATAGTGCGCTTCACGTATCAATAACCTATCGAGTTCTTATATTTTCGTGTTTGCTGTAGAAAGGAAAGGCTGCGTGAGTATTCCAAGGTCCCGTCGGTTTGTACTGTATACCTACTATTTCTTGAGTCAATACTACTAACTCAGCTCGAATTTTAACTTTTCCCGTACTGAATGGGTTCTAATGTGCGCGTCGAGTGACAGGGACACTGGTTTTATTTCAGAATTATTTTTTTTATAAACGAAATTAAAGCTATTTTAAAAATATAATGTATCGTTGTATATCGGTTGTATACGTGTTCTATTTAGTTCAGTTGATATAAAAAAAATCATTGGTATAATGTATCTATTGAATACAGCGGCTTACTTGTAAAATTTCGTGGTAAGTTTGTGTTTTTTTTTCTATCGTGAAAATTTTTCGGAATCGTGTTTTCACACCGTATACTAATCAGTGTATATCAATACTCAATTTTATTATATATTTTTCCAAAGTTATTAATTCAACGCTTTCACAGTTATGCATCAACCAAAGCCGGGTTGGTTGCATCGACTCCTAAACTAGATTTAGCTCCAGTTAACATGGAGGCCATAAAATTAACCCCAGACGGGCTCAACTTACATTGGCACGGAAATGATACTTAGTTAATTTCTGTAATCATAGCATAATGATCTTTATGTGAATTATATAACGTACAAACTAGATACGAGCCAAAAAGCAGATCGAGCGTCTTCGAGAATTTTTGCAGCGTCTCGGTAATTCCAATCGTAATTTTGCAATTGAATGGAAAATACTTTTACTGGCTGCGCTTTATCGAATGTATTTCAAACACGCTTGAATACTTACTGAAAAAAATTGGCAAGCAACGTGTTGTCCCTTGCCTTGGCACAAACGTCGGTACCTCAGAGCACAATACGGAGCATCTTCCGGCTGGTCTTCACTTGTTGACAATTGTACAAGCATAAGTAAGGACAATAGAGCACTTATTGACATCACTTTCTACTATGTCTAAGGTTTTAGCATGCCTATTTGCAAATATCTTTGTCTGTGAAAAAGGAAGAATAAAGATTTCATAGGAAATCTTTTTATCACACTTGTGTGTAGTTTTGTGATTCTAATGGTATGTTTGTTAAATTATTTTTAAAAAATGAACAAAAATTATTATACAAAATAAAACGATAAACCCAGCAAATATTTTAAAGCTTAAATTCGACTTTTAAAAAGAAAAACACTTTGAATATAAAGGAAAATTAAAACAAAATAACAACGTCGAAAATGTTATAGGAAAATGCGATCCTATGTTACTTTTACATAAAAATTAAATAAAAAATATTGGGAACGGTAGGACATGACATTCTCCAAGTCCTACAAGGTTGTCAGGTGACGTATCTACATTTGCTGTCATTTGTAGGTGACATTGCTGGCAGAAGAGAAGACGTCGAAGAACTTGAAAGTAGATACTATTACAACACATAAAGAGAAGAGATTTAAGGTTAATAGGACGAGGAACACAGGGAGCCCTTTATTAACATTTTGTGTGTTTTTATATGCTCTAATAATATTATGCTCTGCTTTTTTGGTTGTCAATGATTGTTTTTTTCACCTCAGGTATGATCTCCACAACAGCAGTCCGTCAAAGAAGTTCTCCCAAAAACAAATACCTTGCTGCTGCCTAAAACTTGGCGTTTTTGATCAATATTA